TTAAAAAAACCTGGTTGCCAGGGGCGGAAACCCCCCCCCCGGGGAAAACCCCGGGGAGCCCCCGGGGGGGGGGGGGGGGGGGTGCCCTATCGAAAACGGCGTCAATCATTTTGTCAACCCGTTGTGATGATGTGCTTGCTTAGTCACCCAACTCGAAGGAGAAGCACTACAACAGTACTATTATTAGTATCATGTTATGAATATGGTGCCGAAGAAGTGTTCGTATGTGTCGCTGTCTCTTTTGCAAAGGCACGAACTTAGGTCTTGTTTTTGATGTGGTGAATTGTATCGAGGAGATACCGTAATATGCGCACGCTGTTTTCTGTCGTGATGCGTTGTTGGTCCACCACCACTCGACTTTAAGTGGTATATTAAAAAAATGCTGCAAAAATGCAACTTGTATTGTTTGTGTATTGCGCATGCATCATGTACTACACAGTCAGGGATATGTGCTACACATCTTACTCACATAGCCCGGGGGGTTGCCCCCGGCGTCGTTTGAAGCCGACAGACAGGTTATTTGTTGTGTTCGACGCGACGAGTCTCGCCAAATAGCAAGAGAAGAGCGTGTTAGAATGGGGATGGATGGAATGCGTGTTGCTCCGGAGGGTTTGCGGTTTGAACCCCTAACACATGCAGTGTAACAGGACATTGTTCGTACGCACCAGGCATCGAAAATGTTTGCGAGGAGCATCCTCTCCCATCTTTCGAAGAGGAGGGTGACACCTGAGGAAACCCCATATATATGCATATTATCACGTAAGACTGATTCTAAGTGTTGGGAGTGCCTTGCATCTACAATAGGTCGATGTGCCCCTAGACAATCTGATGTCCATAACAGGTCGTTCTTGTGGAATGGAATGCGTGGTGCACGTGAGGGTTCGAGGTTTGAACCCGTAACATGGTGTTTGTGTTCGTGCGCACCAGGGGTCGAAATTGTTTGTGAGGAGCATTTGTATCCCCCAGCATTCGCAAGGGAGGGGGGGGGGCTGGGGAAACCCTACGCATGTTATCAATGTAAGACTGCTTCTCACAGAGTATTAACTAGCTGTGCCTTGCATCTACAATAGGTCTATGTGCCACCAGACAATCTGGTGTCCATAAACAGGTCGTTCATGTTCCTAAATCAACCTTTACACCTCTGGGCCTTCGCTGGGATCCAAGTTGCTGCTCCTTGGTTGAACACTATATATATAAAGAACATGTATCCCGGCAGGGGTGGCTAAACTCATTTCGTTGGCACATACCGTGTTCGATGTGGGCAACGCTGACTTTGTTTTTGGGTCGGTCGGACACTCGTGATCCGAAGGTCTTTTTTGTTCCTGCAATCGTTTCAGAGCGTTGCGGGTTTGAGTCCGGACTGAAAATTCTTGCGATACAAACTGGTAGCGAGTGACGTGCTAGTCGTGAGTACAAACAACTAAAGAGAGGCAAAAGGGTTGCTGAATGAACCCTTCTCGCGTAAAAACTGAAGAGAAAGCATCGAAGGCGGAAACAGGCGGAGGATTTCCTCTGTGTGACCCCGGCTGGTGCATCACTCATATACCGAAAGGTGTACACTGGCGCGCACAGAATAGATGAGGCGAGAGCAAAAAGTCGGCACTCTTGAATCGCCCCCCTCGTCGTTCGAAACAGACGCACTACGTCCTCCGGTACAACCCCCTCCCCCGCTCTAGCAGACTTCTATTCATGCCGGAGACTACAGGACGAACACATCATTGTGAATCTTCTCTGCAATGTCCTTCACGCCGGACACGATTGATTTGCTCTGGACTGGGAAGACCAGAAGCTAACCTAACGGTACGAGGTCGTCGAATATGTTGCTCCTACATCTCGACGAATCGTCCGGGTGGGCCGTACTTGACTGGGCGAGGGCGCTGATCCCATCACAAGCTTGAGATGATGCAGATGTTGATTGTAGACGGGGGGAGAGGGATCGATCCTCTCGGCCGACCGACCGATCCGCGTGTAGTTTTGTTTGGGAATAAATGATGGATTTTTTCTGGTCTGCAAATGATAGATAGACTATTTAGTAGGCTTGGCTGAGAACCTTATGTTGCCTCTTCATCCCATCATCCTCGCAGTGGCTGAGAGAACTTTCCAAAATACCTTACTGGCACGCAGTATATATGCCAGAAAGAAAATCAGGACACACGTGTCTTGATCCGCCGAGTGACACAAAGAAGCACCAGAAGGTTCAACGACATATCGCTTGATGACCTGAGATTGATATTCCCTTTTTCGAAAGTAGGTCGTTCCCGCGGTGGTTGGCTGATCCGGACGAAGTGGCACGCAGTTACGTGGTTGGTTAAAAAATCGAGCAGCCAGGCTGGGCACTTGACCCACACACCACGCCCTGTTCCGCTTTGTTTCTGCGGCTGCTTCGAATCCAACAGCGCGGTTTTCCCCCACCATTCAATGTGCATGTGGCCGAGTACACAGAGAGGGAAGGGACCCACCATGTATGTACATACGGGCGGTACTTTGTCACCCAACAATAGAACATACTTCGTGCGAGACATCACTATGTACAAGAACCACCTCCAAAATTTCCGTGAAACAATGGAAGCGATTCTTCCTGCCCCCGCCGTCACAACCTGTAACACAAGGATCTTTCGCCGTGGTTGACGATTCGTCTCCAATCGCCGACTGTTGTTGGTGTCCTACTTTAAATGTTCCGACACCGCAATAAGAGGCACTATTATGCCGCCGCCACGGCTCGACAGGCCGAGTACCGGTGGTGCTACGCCGAGCAGGTCGACCAGGCCGCCCCCCTGGCCGGCAGGAGCAACGGCTGGCGCTACCGGGGAAAGAGGGAGGGAGAGACCTACAGGC